GCTGCTATTTAAATTATTTTTCAACTTCATGTTTGATATGTCAAGTCACATTTATTTGGGTAAGCTATGTTTTGCTCGGACACCCACAGCACAGCCATCGCTGCATTCCTGGTGCTGGGGGGTGTTCTGGCTGACAGCAGGCACTGCCGTGGGGACATTTGCACTGCCAGGCATTGTCCTCTGGTACTGACACAACTTTGTCTGGATTTTGGAAAGAGAGATGCTTATTCATGGCTGCGAGTATGTGTTTTTTCATTTAAAATCAACTTCATAAATCAAAAGTAAAATTAAACGCCCTGCAGCAGTTTATCAGTCAGAAAAATAGATGAACCAAGAAAAAGATATGAACTTCATAACATTTCCATGGGAACAAGCAACAAGGGTATTTTGGACAAATGAATTAGGTGAATTCCTGCATGAGACACTCCCAGGGAATGCCCTGTCCTTGCTCTTCCAGTATGTGCTAGATGGATTTCAGTTTAGTTGTGTCCTCTGATTTCAGGATAACAAAAGCACAAGCAGCCTTGCTCTTGGGCTGTTTACAGCCTGTGTCAAAACCAGACCTTTAAATTCCAGCAGCAAGTCTCCCTGGGACCCAAGGCAAAAGCAGCACTGCAAGTTCTTGCAAAACACTGTGTTTGCCAGATGGATGGCTGCTTTTGGCACCAGTTTCAGCTTCTGGATACAGATATAATGCAGCAAGACATATATATACACATATATAATGCAGCAAGAGCTCTGTGTAGAAGAAAAACCATGTTCATCCAGACACAGAGAGATGAAAATTGCCCCAGACACAACTGCTATTAGAAGCAACTGTTGCCGGAATACTCTTTCCAAGTGTAAATTTCAGTGCAAATTCTAGAACAAGTTATATTTTTCATCATATTTCTAGAGAAATCTCTAGATGCCTGAAGACATCCCTCTGACCGATTTGGACTGAACTGCTGCTGCAGGCTCTCATATTGTTGTCTTCCTTGGATAAGAGAGGAGGAAACAAAAGATGGAAAAATTCAGAACAAGTTGTATCAAAGGTCCTAGCCAATATCTGTATAATGCAGAACTTCTTTGCCTTCCATAGAGCTGCTGAATAAGGAAAATGCAATCCATATGATGCAATTCATTTGATTCATGCTTTGACTTGAACGGCTTGTCTGAGTTTGGCTTCACTTGGTAGAGATCATGGTAACAAAAGGAGAGATATAATGACTACTTCATCAATTGAGAAGAAACACTTCTATTGTCTTTCAGAACCCAGTAAATAGGTAACGGGTGAAGAAAATGAGCAGTGTGTTTGGAAACCTTTGACACGGGAGGCTGGGAGGATCTGGCTGTGATGCTGAGCCAGGCTCCATGCTGCCAACTGCGCAGCAATGCCATTTATGGTCACTTAGTCATTAAATCTCTTCGAGTTACGGTGCCTGCGGCTTCTGAAAAGGCAAACCTTTAACTACTGTGAGCCTCAGCTGCTGGATCTTTAGTGTTACTGGCTGGGTGCTGGGTTAGTGGATGAGCTGCCCCGCGGGGATGTGAGGATTAGCATCTGAACACTGGTTTGAATGTGCTACGATTTATTTTATGGCATTTGTTATGCATGGCTTTTGTTTTAATGCACAATGCTGTCCTGTGTTTGGATAAGGCTATTATGTGGCAAAAAATTATAAATACTTAAAATCTTGTGATAAATTTCTAAAGCTACCTGGGTGCTATAGCCCATGGCCCAGTTATTCTTTTTCCAAGCCTTTGTCCTGACAACTCATAAGTTTTGATGGCCCCAGGGTACAAACCTTCAGTGTACTGCTGCTTTGACAGGAACCTATGGAAAAAAACTGAAGCATTCTGCTGGCTTTTCACCACACTTTTCTGCTGAGATATGATGCAAAATCACTTGTGTGGGGTTAGTGTAGTGTGGGAAAAAAAAGTCATTGCTCCTTTTGTATTAGCAACACCACTGAAATCTTTAAAATGTGACATTTCTGTTGCACAGATCCTCAGAAAGGCGATAACTAAAGCACGACCTGCCAGGGGCAGAGAAAAGTCCTTTTACCTTCAGACTCAGCTTGAATGCTCAGCCATGGCTGATTCGTGCTCTAAGCAAAGTGTGCAGATGTTGGATTAACAGCTGAGATTAATCCCTGTTCTTGTACTCTTACAATCAAAGCAAGCTTTTGCTGAAAAATGCATCAAGCAGAGAGCATGTACAGTGTCCCAAATGGCTGGGATCTCTCATGTATGGCCCATGACTTGGAGGAATCCAATAACATATCATCACATGGGACTGTGATAAGTTGATTACCCTGAAATAGACCTGACTTCATTAGTCACCCCATCATGTGCTGTTCACTGATGTCAGTGAGGGCCCTGCCGCCGCTCCCCACACCCTTCTGCTTTTGCAAAACCCGGCTTCAACAGAATTTTCCTCAATGATACAGCCGGTGTTAGGACTGCCCTTTCTCTCTGCTGTTAGCATGCTCCAAAAAACTCATGGCAAGTGTCCACCGTGGAGCCCCATGGTACCATTCCAGGGCTTTCAAGGATATGATAAATGAGATTAAATTTCTTTTAAGGATTGTCAGTGATCCCAAAAAGAGCAGCAACAGACCTGCAAAGGCCAGACAACTTTTATTTATCTTTACAGTTTAAAATGTGCTCCTAATTTTTTAAAATCCTGCCAGCAAAGCAACTCCCTGTGAATTTGGAGAACTTAATGCCATATTCTGGTCTGAGAGACATTCTGGACTGACTTTTTGCTAAAAATAGAGCATGAATTGAATGATGAATTGCCCTTACAATTTATTCCATTTGTCAAGGCTGTATTTTCAAACACAAAATATTCTGAGCAGTTCCATGATAAAACGGTGAGTATATGGCAGAGGAAGCCCTCTGCTGCTGAATTAAACAGGGTCTTTTTAAATTGAGCCTTGCAGTGAATTAGCATAGAGGAAGAGTATTTTTAAAACAGTGAAAAAAACCCATTGCTGTGTTTTCACAACCACCTAAAGAGAACCAAGAAAGCAATGACAGTATTCTTCCTTCCTTGTATCTGCATCTAGCAAGTAAAGGAAGAACGGAATGGAAAGATCCTTGTCATGCAGAACAAATCAGAAGAAAAAAGTATCCATCCCAGAGCATAGTATTGAAATCTCCCTCCCTTTCTGCCTAGATACATATATCCACCCAAATATCTACCCATATAAATATGCACATAAGGTATTTCTGCAAGGCATACATTAGTTCATTTGCAATAATATACAGTACCAAGATGGTATTCCAGCAAGTACAGATTCATGGGTCAGCTTGTTTTTATTTCTCTGTCTCCTGATGAAACTTGAAACACAGATTCACTTGTGTTAAACTGTCTTCCAACTTGCAGTTGCTGCCACAGCTGGATATCACGTTTGTGGCCAGGCAGGTCCCAGACAGGGCACCTCTCCTGATCTCAGTCACCCGTGCAGGCGATGGGGTGCTGTGCAGGCAGGGGCTACCCCTCTTTGCTTCACATCAACCAGAAATCTTGATGAGACCATAGCTGTGAGAGTCATCTGTTACTGGGAAGAAAGGAAAGAAACAAGATCTGTTCTTCAGAGCAGAAATTATTTTGCTTTTTTCATTCTCTTCCCATAAAGCAATCTTTGTTTCCCAATAATCGTGAAAGCAGTCAGGATGCAAAAGGCTGAATTCTGATCAAAAGCCCTGTGATGTGCAGGGAAGGGCACCTGTGACATGGGCTGCTGCATCCAGACCACCGGCACCCCACCAACCCTGCATGGTGCCAACAGCAACAGCCCTGACTGTGCCACTGCCCTTGTCCTGAGTCTAATGGGGTGAGCTGGGCTTGCATGTCTATGCCAGAGCTTTGCTGAGAGCTTCACATCTGGTTTTGTGCCTCAGTGCTTCTGATGCAATAGATGGATGGATGGATGGATGGATGGAAGGAGTGCTGGAAAGCCACTCAAAGAAACTGCTGTCTTTATGTGTGCAGAATATGTCATTGCACAATATATCATTGGGATGCAAATTTTCTTTGCTGGGTCTATGGAAAAAATTATTTTTATTGAAAATTTTAGCAAAATATGGACGTGAAAAATAGAAGTCCTAATACTAATTTTGTCTTTTTCCTGTGTAATTCCTATTCACTGCCTTTGTTACAGAAAAAACAATGGCTGAAGCTTCAACTTCCAGCATGGCACAGGCACAAAATGATATTAAAGAGTTTGCATTACTAGGTGTGGGACTGAAAAGGAAAGGAAATTAAAATATTATAAGCAATCAGCTAATCCGGATGTGGAACGGTTGCTAAGGAGTCTCAGCCCAGGCCAAAGTCAATAAGCAATTAGTATCTATTAAAAGATGAAGTATAGGATGATGGGAGAAAAGTCCTTGAGAAAAGGCTCAGCTCCATGTTTCCAGGCTGCCTTCCCCTGGGCTGGACAAGTCTGTGCTGACAGCAGAGAGCTGCTCGCAGAGGCACAACCTGCCCTGACTGCAGCATCTCTATGCCCTGTCACTGGCTTTGGTCTGTAAATGAAAGCTCTCACCTAATGTCAGTTTTTATTTGAATAATAAAAGCAGCTTCCTGCTGCTTGGCTCAGTAATTTGAGGAAAGAGCAGTGACTGCTGTGCCATGAGATACACCTCAACATTTCAGTATACTAAATGTGATCTCTGATTTCTTTGATAGTTTTAAAACAGGAGACAATGCTGATTAGTGAACAATGGAAGTTTAGACATAACTCCCACTTTACCTCACCTTCATATTTGCTTCTTTCTTAATTTATTATCAACAAATGCATCTAATATAAATTAGTCTGGGGGAAGGATCTTTTAAGTCACTGGAGAGAAACCATGGTGTGATGGTTTAGTGGAGGCATTAGAATAAGACCCTTGAAATAAAATAATTGGACATCTGTATTCTAATTTTCTAGCTGAGAATGACTATAGTAATTTAATTAAATAAGACTTTATTGATTGTGTTTTAATGGATTTGTTTTCTCTGACAGATACCTGCACCTTTCAGTGTGGCAGCCTTGATGTAAATAGGTAGACACGTACACACTTCACTTGAATCAGTGGAGCAGCTCCTGGTAGGAAAACCAAGACCGTAAGTGCCTACTGGATTGGAGCCAGGAGCCAAGGGTGGGCGGGTGGGCACAGGCTTCCCTCGGGATAGGGACACACAGGGACACCTCACCGCAGCTTTCAGGGACCCACTAAGTGTCATAAGATGTCTCGGCGACCTGCAAAAATTCAGTATGCAGCAAGACAGCTGGAGTAGTTCTATTGACTCTTCTGTCATCAAATGAGTCAGCAGCAAGTCAGAGTCTTGTAGGTCAGCAGGGAGTGGCGCGCCAGGAAATCAGTCACAAAAATGGGGGGGAAGCAAAGAACCCCCAAGAATTCGAACCATAACTGACTACTTTTAGAAGTTTCTATTATTTTCAAATGGCCGATAAAATCGTATGTGCTGGCACAGAGGTTGCTGTCCCTTTGCCACACTGCATCTCGTGTGAGCACCCTCAGCCTCTCCCGGCGAGGGCTGTGCAGAATAGAATCCCCCCGGCCCAGAGCACAGCTCTGCTGGGCACCCTGCACAGTTCTGCAGGCCCGGCGAGGGGTCATCCACCCGTGGCTGCATCCACCCGCGGCCGTCACACAGCTGGCGGCCTGACCTGTGTCCCCTGAGTGGGGCTGTGGTGGGGCTGCGCGGGTGGCTCGGGGGCTGCCCTCCTGTTCCTCCCGCGGGTTTCATTTGTCTGTGGGCCGAGGGGGCTGCACCCCGGGCGGGCAGTAGCGCTCCTGCCCGTGCCCGGGGGCCGCGCCCCGGCCCCGCCCGACACCTCGGCCAGGTGAGCGTCGGCCCAGCGTGGACCCCTGTCCATCAGGGGCTCGGCCAGCCCAGCCCAGCCCAGCCTAGCCCAGCCCAGCCCAGCCCAGCCCAGGCCGCCCCCGCGGGCCGGTGCGGCGGGGAGCGGGGTGGATGCGGCGGAGGGCGTGCCGCTCCCGGTGGATAAAGGCCGGGCGGCGGCGCGGGGCCGCGCAGAGCGGGCGGGTCGTGCAGCGGGGGAGGCAGCAGCAGCGGAGGCAGCGAGAGTAGGAAAAGGCGAGGGGCCGCTGTAGAGCACCGCGCCGTTCACTCTTTTCCCTCCCTCCCCGCAGGCGGCCGGGCGGGGCGCGGGCGGAGCGCAGCGGATCGAAGAGGCGGAGCGGGGCTGGCCATGAGCACGCAGGCGCGGGGTCAGGGCGCGCGGAGAGCGGCCGATCCCGACGGCGAGATGCCCGCCACCGAGAAGGACCTGGCGGAGGACGCGCCTTGGAAGCGGATCCAGCAGAACACCTTCACCCGCTGGTGCAACGAGCACCTGCGCTGCGTCAACAAGCGCATCGGCAACCTGCAGCATGACCTGAGCGACGGGCTGCGGTTGATCGCGCTGCTGGAGGTGCTCAGCCAGAAGCGCATGTACCGCAAGTACCACCAGCGGCCCACCTTCCGCCAGATGCAGCTGGAGAACGTCTCGGTGGCCCTCGAATTCTTGGAGCGAGAGAGCATCAAGCTGGTCTCCATCGGTGAGTGCGTCTCCGGCGGGCCGTTTTGTTATTTTCTCGTATTATTGTGTTTTTTCGTGCGCTGGACCTTTGCCTGGCGGAGCTATGACGACGGGGCTCGGGGCAGTGGGGACTCCAGGCTCGCAAGCTGAGGAGCTTCAGCTGCTTCTATCTTTAAAGAGCTCTGTGTGCCGTGGGGCTGCCCCACAGCCCGGCTGCTGGGGCTGGCAGTGATCTCCTGTCCTCCTCAGTGTCCCTCTTGGTCACCACTTCATAGATGAAGCTTTGCTTTCAGGTCTTTCCTGAAGAAACCCCCTAGCTGGGGCGTATTCTCTCCCTGTGCAGCCAGTTCCTCCAGGCACTGACCCCTCTAGCAGCCCGGCAGGAGTCTGCGGCTGGACGATGCCGCTCTGGCTGGGCGTACCTGGCCTCTGGCGGAGTGCTGGAGCCAGACTCACGGCGGTGCAGAAATAGCTGCAGCCGTAGATAGTATAGGAGAGTGGGGAGACTTTGCTCACCACAGCCCAGTAGATGATGCCAGTGTTCAGATGAGCATTGATGCTTGCCTAAGCACAGTTGCAGCTTTTGAAGAGGATTGCATTTTCTCCTCAATCTTTCTGCTACGGTAGGTTATGGCAGAAAATGTTCAGGGAACCCTACTAAGCCCAGGCAATGGATGATTTGAGCTACTGCCACCCAGGCTGCCATGAGATTTGCGCTGTACTGGAGCGTGCAGTTGGTTGATAGCTGGTAGTTTGGAAGGTGCTGGCATGCACGTCGGATTGCGGATGATCCCTCAGGAATGCATCCGTTTACCGTTTGGGGAATAGCTCAGGTGTGGCCACAACTTCATCTGTAAAGCAGTAATTGGAATGCCTGAGAGATCTCTGGGAAGGAATGTGAATGCCTTTTCTAGTTATTTGCCGGATAACTATAACTACTGCTTCCTGATGACTTTGGCCTCGATGAATTGCACAGCTGAATTTGGGTGAGTGTAGCTCTCCTCAGCTGTCTAAAATGCTTGGCCAAGGTAAAAGCCGTTTCACTTCAAACGCTTTAACTACAATAGCAAGAAAATAGAAACTTCTCCAGTCTGGGGGAGACCTGGCCCTCTCTGGAAACCTGTAGCTGGGTACCCTCTTCCTCCTCTCTACTAATGTGTAAAAGCAGCTTTGGACAAGAAGTGAGGACTCTTGGTCCTGAGTGGCTGACTGTTCTCCCTAGGCAGAACAGCTAATGTACTTGCAGCTGGGAATGAAGCTGGTGCTAATTATTTACTTAGAGCTGGATTCCCTTTGCACTCAGTGGGGTTCGAATTGCAGCTGCTGATTCCTGGGCTGAGCTTTTGCTAACATCAGAGCTCACCTTTCTGTGGCAGCTGCTGGACTAGCTCCAACACCAGGCCAGCACTCCCCTCCTATTGTATTGTTTTCCCTAGAAAAATGTTGTTGCTCCAGCTGCCTTCCTCTTTGTCTGTGGAACTTCCCGAGGGTGACGGGTTTGGGAGATCAAGGCTACTCCAGTCAGGTCTGGCTTTCAGTGACTTCCTTTCTAGAAATGCTGCTGCAGCAGCACAGCTCCTTTACGTGGTTAGGCTGAACTGCAGGGTGTCTGTAATCATTTAAGACATGTCTGTTTGTTTTACGGCTTACTTGCATTGTATTGGCTATTAAAAAAAAAAAAAACAAATAAAATTTTAAAAACCCAAACCCTGAGAAAACTTGAAGCTTTGAAAGAATGGAATGACTATGACTGCTGATGCTTTTGCCATATCCCAGCCTCTGCCTGAAGGAGTGTACAGCTCCATCTGTGCTCTGCCACCTGAGCTGGAGCCAAGGAGTAGCACAGGAGCCCTACTGTACAGTCCTGGATAAACTGAGCCTGTCCTGAAAAAATGTTCTGAATGCCTTTTCCAAAAAAGACATTCTGAGTAAGCCTTGCAGTGCTCTGCTGGGTTGAAGGGCTGAAGCTGTCAGCACCTGTCCTGCAGGTGCAGTGTCCATTAGGTTTACTACCTGTTCCTGGTGTATTTTTCCCTGCAGATTCTGAAAAACTTGAGGCTTTCTTTTTGTTTCTGCTGTTTAGTCTCTTTTGTGTTGTTGAACAAAACCAGGGTCATTGCAGACCCTGGAGCTGAAGTGAAAAAAATAAACTAGTAAAGGCTCTAGGTGGAGGATTTTTATGACCGGGTTGGTCTTTAGGGCCAACTCTGAGCCAAATCAACTGGGAAAACCTGACAGCTGCGCCTGCTGGATTTCTGGCATTCATAATGCCATCAGACCTCTGCTAAGTGGATGCAGTGCCTGTTCCAGTTATTATTTAACTTCCAGGAACATTTTGGAAGCCATGTGTTATGGCTCAGCTACTGCTGCTGTACTACAACCACATTTTAAAACCTTTTCAGTAGCAAGGTTTTGGCATTCGATGTTTGTCTATTTTAAATAAGTCTGCCTATACTCCGTGTTTGACCACACCCCTTTCTGGATGCGCATTAGCAGCCCAGCCTCTCCTGCTGCTGTTACCCCTTGTTTAGTCTCTGCTCCAAGCCTTCTACTAGTTTCAAGGAGCTTTTCTTCTAGGTATGAAGTGTCTTCACTACAATGTAAAATTGACTGCCTGTATGATCTACTGTAAGAAAGGCCATGAAGCACGTAAGTGCTTTGTGCCATCCAGCAAGATGGGAGTGAATGTTTCGAAAAAGCTGCTGTGGGAGCAGGTGACTTCACAGAGCCTTCTGCTCAACATGAGGTGGTTGCTGTGCTGCTCAAGTGTTAACAAGTGTTAAGTCTAGCTTTTTTCCTTGTCTACTAGACTGAGATAATTGCAAATTCCTGGGTGCTGAGTGGCATGCTGCATGACAGGCACTGGGAGTAGGATGCCAGGAATGTAGAGCACAAGGGCTTTGCTCATGGCTAAAGGGGCTGATCGACTCTACAGATTACTTAGCAGAGAAGGGAGGGTGGTTGAAGCTAATCTGGCATGGAGTTTGTCCCTAGAAACCCTGGTAACTGTCAATAGGAGTGAACTGATGTACCTTAGAAACAGAGGAGTTAGGTGGCTGAAGCCTGGCAAATGGTTTTGGGGTGACACCTGCCAAGTTTCACCTGAGCTTGCAGCCGGCAGGTCCTGGGTGCATACTCTGCTGCTCAATACCTGTGGGCAGTGTTCTCGTGGCCACTGCTCATCCAGCAGCCTCATGTCACTGGTAGAGGGAGGATGGGTGCCAGGCTGCCTTGTTGCATAAAACTGCAGTCTTGGGCTGCTACCGTCGGATTGAGCAAACTGAAAAATGTGGTTTCTCTGCCAGGTTGCATTTTCACCAGGTAAATGAGCTTGCCTCACAACGGCAGGATGTGAAGTGGCAATGTAAGCATCTGCTGCAGTAGTATCCAGTGCTGCCCTTGGCTGCAGTTGTGTGATTTGTTTACAGCTTTGTCTCTGCAGTGGTCCTGTGTCCTGCTGCAGTGCCTGTGGGGCATTAAGCTATGCCAGGAAGGAGATGGGCGAAGAGATGATGGGGTTATAATCATGGTGTGTTCGTACTTCCCTCATGGAGTTTGGTGGTGGCATATCCCAGCTGCAGGAGTACTGACCAAACCTAACCTGTGCATTGGGTGGAATTTTGGTTAATGACCAAGTACTTGATATACACACTGTGGACTGTAGTGTGCTTAAGGTGAAAGTACCTGTGAGTCTGAGGACCTTATAGAATTCTCATTTTAGGAAAATAGTTGAAAACCAAGTTTCTTCTCTATGTTGCTTATATGTTAGAGTGCCAAAGCAAACGGTATGTTTCTAGAGGGAAAACTAGTCTCTTGTAAAACAGTAAATGTGTTGTCCTGTAACGTTTAGAGGTAGGTCCTTGAAAACTGAAAAAAGAAAATGTATTTTCAGCCTGTGTACATTTAAGTGTTCTTCTCTCTCCCTCAATGTTCTATTAACACATCATAAGGAGGTAGTCAAAATACACTTGTATTTTGTCTGCCACTTATCTATGACTTCCCTGGATGCTGCTTTCTGGAAAATATCCAGTGTGTCTTGGAAGCAGATTTCTGCTTCTTGGAAATACGACAATTTCCTTCCCCTTGAAAATAATTTTTGATAGATGGACGGTAGACCTCTTTGCTGGAGGTGGCTTCAGCTTTGGAAGGTGCTTGGTCTCCCCAGGACCTTCTGTTTCAGTACTTGGACTGCTGGTCTAATGAAAAATTGCCTTTGCCAGAGCTATGACTTCCAAGTTACAGGAGACTTTTAAGGTAGCTTACACAGACTGTTCTTGCATTCTTTTACATACGAGCGGAAACTTGTAAAGTGATCAAACTTCGGTAAAATTACTTAGAGCCAGTTAGACTAATGTGCTAAACAGCTTTTTCATTTAAGGCCCTGAAGGCTATGCCAGCTATTCAAGATGGATTGAAATTTTAACTGCTCCATATTCTAATGCCACGTCCTGTATTGACTTACATGGGGATGTTTAAATCTAAATGGGTTAGGATAACTCTTTTCTAGCCTACAACTGTAACCTAAGAATGTGGTTAGCCTTGTGTGTGGTCATGCTGCTATGTTGCCAGCATTGTTCTGTGTCTGCTCCAAGCAATGGGAAGTAAAACAATGGCCTCTGAATCCCCTAGGCTGCAGAGGAATT